AGGTGATCGGCTGCAGCCTTCCATCCCTCCACGACCTGTACGTCTCCAGGACTGTGAGGCGAGCAGGTCGGATCACAGCTGACCCTGCTCACCCTGCACACGGACTGTTTGAACCACTCCCCTCAGGCAGGAGGCTTCGGTCCATTCGGACCAGAACCTCCCGCCATGAGAACAGTTTCTTCCCCTCTGCTGTTGGACTCCTGAACACTCATAATGCTATCTCATAATTTCTGCTTTGGTCACATTACATCTGTATTATAATTGAATACTCCATCTGTACTGTTTTCTAAGCTTTTTATTGTTTTCTATTGTATGGGTGTACATATGTTTATGTTATGTTTTTAATTTTACTTTATTTGTGGGTGTACACAGGTCTTATGTCTTATGTAATGTTCTCATTTTTACTTTATTTTTACTTTATTTTACTTTATTACTATTCGCACCTTATGTCGAAGCAAATTCCTAGTTTGTGAACCTCGTTCATTGACGTGGCGATAATAACCTGATTTTGATTCTGATTCTGTTTGATAAGAACCAATCCTCTTTTACTGCTCAGGCACTTTTATTAAAGCTCTGCTTACAGGCTTGCTCCCAGGTGTCTTGCTGATTGGCATCTCACAGAACTCTTACTCTCTTGTCTATACTTTACATTTATACATTCACAGAGACTCGTGACTACCACCTAATGGACACAAACATAATACATTCAATCATCACAGCAGGCATCAAAACAAATTACACCAACAGACTGAACAAACTCAGCAACAAGGCTGAGTCTGCTGCTGGCTCAAAGTTTGTCAAAATTCTGCAGGCAGTCATGGACAATGACTCCCATTTTCTTCATAAAACAGTGGACAATCTTGAAAGGCAGCTACAGACTAATCCAACCCCACTGTTTAAATGAACAATACAGGAAATTGTTCCTTCCAGCTGCTGTGGGTGAAGTGAATTTATATGCCACTGTTAGACCACAAACCTGAATCCACTGATCTGGACTAAGCTGCCTCATTTCTTCACTATGTTGTATTTTTAGTTGTTGAATCAAAATGCTTCTTTCTCAGTTTTTTTTCCTCTTGTTTCTTTGTTTTCTCTTTAGCTCTGCTCACTGTGTCAGAGGAGGTCAGAAGTCGCTGTAGCCTCAAACACAGGAAGTCCCTGCTTATTTCTGACGTCTCCATGGACCCTGTACCCATGGACACATATTCGAGTCACACACCGGACCCCAGTTGCAGGTAAATTATCGCTCTTTCATTCGGTTATGTTCCACTGAGGCTGTTGAAACTTTGCATACCCAATCTGAAATACCTTTATTGCAGAACTCTACAAACACCTCAACCATGGACATCACCTCAGATTTCAGACCGTTACCTTTCCACCCATCCTTACCCCACCATGGGTCAGATCAGCCCACGGACACGCAAGTCCATGAGTCTGGACATGGGCCAACCCTCACAAGCCAACACAAAGAAGCTACTGGGTACAATTCATCCCTTGGTGTGGTTCTGTACAGTTTAGATGTTCTGTTCAGTTCAGTGTTAAATCAAATGTGTGCTTTGTGTTTGTTGTGTTGGCCAGGCACCAGGAAGAGCTTTGATCATCTTATATCAGACTCCAAAGCACCAAAGAGACCAGAGATGGAGTCTGGGATGACCACTCCTCCAAAGATGAGGCGTGTAGCAGAAAACGACTATGAGATAGGTGAGAGGAAATTAAAAAAAATTTTTAATGTTTGATGGTTTGAGCTGATATTTAAAAGTGTCCTGTAATGTTACTCCAATAGAGACACAAAGAATTGGAAACTCTCACCTTCGTAAGGTGTCTGTATCAGAGTCCAACGTTCTGCTTGACGAAGAGGTTCTGACTGATCCTAAAATCCAGGCTCTGCTGCTTACTGTGCTGGTGAGGACCCAACATTTAGTCCATAGCAAGCTTGTTCAAGTTAAAAGGCATGATTGATCCCTAATCTTAACCTTGTATTAAATTACCAGACTGTTACCAGACTTTGTTAAATTACCAGCTCTGTTTTTCTAGGCCACCCAAGTTAAATACACCACTGACGACTTCGACCAACGGATTCTGTATGAGTACTTGGCTGAAGCTAGTGTTGTCTTTCCAAAGGTGTTTCCTGTTGTGTAAGTTCCAAACACTTTTTATTCATTAGCTTATTAAACCATGTGATTTTTCAATAACTTCTCTGGTTTGATTGGAAATACACTCACTGATGATAACAGTTAATCACTCATCAATAGGAATCAGCTGAGGTGGTCCAGACACCTGATTTGGATTCCTCCCTTCGATGTTTTCTAGGTATGTCTCAACAGGAGAAGCCCCTGGAACAAATACAAAACTCGTTGAAGGAGTTATGTATCAGAGTCAGTAGCTATGTTTACATGGACATAATTAATCAGATCAAACGGCCGTTCAGAATAAAAACGCGTCATGTAAACACCCTGTTAGTTATTTTTTGTCTATTCAGCGTGATCCAAAATAACGTGATCAGAATGAAACGGGTGGTTTACGTCGATTTATGACCCGAATGGTGTCCATGTAACACTTGATCTGTTCGTTTTTATCTGATTGTGAAAAACTGACCTGACTGCACATGTGCGACTTTGTCATTTCCTCCTGGCTAATGCTAACAATATTAGCATGTCAGGGAAGCAACATTGGTCAGTGAGCGACAACATTTCTACTAGAAACTTTGAAAGAGCTCAAAATGATCTGTATCACCTGTAGCTCAGTCAGGGAGTGCAGCAACGTCTCCACCGTCATTAAAACCTGTCACGGGTCTATTTTGGGTGCTCAGGTTTGTTTACGTTCATCCCAGAAGTAAAACTTTTTCTTTGGTGGTTTTTTTAAGGAGAGTTTACCACTCTGCGCATGTCAGTACTTCTGTTCAGAACAAAGCCCGCTGCATGTAAACGCTTATCATGAGTAGATTTTGCCCATGTAAACGATACATTTGAATTATTTAATCTGAAAACATTTCAATCCAGTCAAAGAATTTTGTGCATGTAAACATAGCTATTGAATCAGAGATTCTTTATTGTCATTCGCATCTCATGTGGTGGAACGAAATTATGTTCACAGGGTCCCAGTTACATCCAACAATAAAATGTAAAAGAAAAACAATAACATCTAAGATATAAACTAAGAAAAACATCAACTAATTAAAGCTGCAAGCAGCATTGGAGGCCCTCACAGCAAAGCGCCACTCCGGCCTTACGGCGACCGCAGGAGCTCGAGCTAGTCCACCCAGTCGCCATCGCAAACGCTCTCGTGCCAATCCCGCACACGTTCACCACGGAGCGCATTTCCCGAATCTTCGACATCGCCTTCCGTCCATGTTGTCCAGCTACAGGTCTTACAAATATAGGCGAAATCTGACCTTCCAGACAGGAGTTACTGTGACTTGCTGTTTTGTGGCGAATGTTTGACAAGCACTTCCTTTATGCAACATTTTTCAGTCAGGTCATCTGGACAATTTCTTTTTTTGTGCTGAAACGTTTTGCCTTCGATCCAGAAGGCTTCATCAGTCAAGGAAACACACAACAAAACTGATTCTTCCCCCAACAGCTTACTCCAAAGTGGAACAAACCAGTTCTGCTTGTGATAAGATGGTCTATTTGGTACGCCCCCTCCTCCATTGCCGGCCCTCTTCCTTGTCAACAGTCCTGTCCAACTGGTTGAAAACAACAAATCCATGTTCAATAATCCAGGTACACAATCCAACATTTTTCAGTCAGGTCATCTGGACAGTTTCCTCTCTTTTGTGCAAAAAAAAGAGGAAACTGTCCAGATGACCTGACTGAAAAATGTTGGACTGTATACCAGGATTATTGAACATGGACTTTGTTGTTCACTTACTTTATGCTTTTCAACATGTCGTGTGTGGTAATCAACAGTTAGCAAACACAATTTCAGTCTAATATCTTACACAGTGCGAAGCTGGAAGTGTCATCCAATAATCAAGAGTTTTTTCTCTGAGTAGGTGGGGCTTAAGTCATGTCATGAATCAACAATACCAATGTGTCTCCATGTGCTCACTGATCAAGCACAAAAAATCAGGTGCAGATCAAATTATGTATCACTAAGATATAACTTTTGGAATAATGTAGGGGCGCACTTGAGTAAAATGTTAAACAACAGCAATGTCTGTAGAAGTGTTCACTGATCATGCACAATAAATCTGGCGCATATTGGATTATGTGTCACTGTGATATAACTGTTGGAATAATCTAGGGGGCGCACTCGAGTCAGATGTTAAAGAATAACACCAATGTATATAGTAATGCTCACAGATGACGCACCAAAACTCTAGTGCAGATTGGATGATATATTACTGAGATCCAACTGTTGGAATAATCTAGGGGGCGCACTGGAGTCATGTGTTAAACCACAATATCAATATGTCTAGAAGTGCTCACTGATGACGCACAATGAATATGATATAGATCGGATGATGTATCACAGATGTAACTATAGGAATAATGTATGGGGCGCTGTGGAGACTATTGGCCACTTATCATTGATTCCAGTTCAAGGGTTGGATAACGATCGATCATAGTGATTTTGGTATACCTCGGCTCAAATCTGTGCAGTTTATAGCCAAACGTATTACAACGGCGTCACTTCTTAATTCGTCCCGCCACCATGCCCATATCTTCCAGCTAAAACTGTTTGTAATTTAAAGTAAGTCAGGCCAATTTGTTATATGTCTTCTAAGATAGGATCATCCTGATTAGGTCAAGGGTGTTAGAGAGGGAGCATTCCAAGTAAAAAAAAAAAGACTTCCAGTTCTGAGGAGGCGGGGCTTTGATGATGTCAGAATCTGACCACAGAGGATCGTCAGGCATCCAACAGGGATGCCTCATGCCAAGTTTGGTGCATTTCGGTCTTTCATTGTGAAAGGTATAGTGTTTGAAAATTAACGGCGTGAAGCACAACTTTGAGGCCTGGCCACGACCCTTTAACATATATGAAAACGCAAGCTTTTGATAACTTTTACTCCCCAATGTCTTAAGGGCATATTAACCAAGTTTGAGGGTAATCCTTCAAAATCCCTAGGAGGAGTTTGTTCAAACTCGCAATTAGAAAAGCCCTAAAATGACCCTTTAACCCAAAATGGCCGACTTCGTGTTGAGTTTGGACCAGGGCTCCTAGAGACTTTTTCATAGGTCCTGAGAAGATACAAGGGTTCACCAAGTTTCAGAATTATCAGTCCTAAATTGGCTTGGGGCTGAGGTTTTAAAATATTCTAGGGGGCGCTGTGGAGGCTATTGGCCACTTATCATGGATTCCTGTTCAAGGGGTGGATAATGATCGATCATACTGTTTTTGTTGCACCTCGGTTCAAATCTATGGAATTTAGAGCCAAACGTATGGCGATGGCGTTGCGTCTTACTTAGCCATGTCGCGACACGCACATGCTCCACCCAAAATGGTCTGTGTTAGAAAGGAAGTTATACCAACATGTCTTCGGTCACTGGACACACTATCATGCTGATTACTTAACGGGTCAGATAGGGACCGTTCAATGTAAAACTTTACACTTCCTGTTGTCAGGGTGCATGGCTTAATTGATGTCCAGATTTGACCATTCAGTCTTGCATGGGACCGGTTGTGGATCAATCACTTAAGGTTTGATGTCTCAGACAGTTTTCATGTAGGAGCTATTGCGTTTTGTTTTTCATGGCGAGATGTCAAAGTTTGAGGTCTGGCTCCGCCCCTTCAGCATGCTC